CACAGGAACGGCTGAGCGGCTGCTCTGTTTCACCGCAAGCAGCGAAAGCATCCTTACCAAGGCTGTGACCAAGAAAGTGCATATTGGAAGCTTCTTGATAGCTCTTCTGAAAAGCTGGTGAGGTGTGTGTTTCAGTCGCTTGTCAGCTGAATCCCATCAATACTCCACCGGACCATATTTTGAAGCTACAATTCAGTCCAGTGAAAACCCCACAAACCCACGATTACACTTATGCAAACCAAAATGGCTTTTAATATGCTCGGACAAGGCAGCTCGGCACTGAGCCAAAGCACTCACCTTCTTGTGGAATGAACATGTTCAAGCTTCCGTTTTCTTCACAGTGTCAAATACAGATTTGGAGGTGAAAAAAAGAGCGAGAAAATTAAACAAAAAGCAAAAAAATCTTAGTCTGAATGTGTACCTATTTCCGCACCTTACACAATCAGCAACAATTATAAATAATCTTTAGTTTACAGTTTATTCTTTCATGAATGCTATTTGACAGGCTAGAATGATTATGAAATAAATTTGCTTATTGTGTCTCCCATCAGAGTACAAGTTTTAGAATGATATATGCATTTCGGTGCATTTATCAATAATAGCTTCTTTAGTCAGAGAGGGAAGGTGAAAACGAAGATTTTATACCTGGCTGGACATAGAAGATCCACATCACTTTCTCTGATCTTTGAGCTCAATTAGGCTGAAGTGTCATACTCCTGCAAGCATGAGGTACTTGGTGGAGACCTGTACTTGAAGCCAACGGCTTCAAGTTTATAGCACTCCCAACACATGTTTATTTCATGATAATATTCAAACTAATTTTACTGGGTAGCCAAAGCTGTATGTGCAGAAAAATAAATATCTGAATTAAAACCTTTAACAGACCTTTCAGTTATAGTGCCTATTTTCAATGTACCACTTTACAATTGTTTGCTATGTAAACGATTCAAAGTGTCTAAATAGAAGAGATATTTTGGTGACAGGAAATATTCTTAACTTACACGATCACAAAGCATTAGAGAATCACAAAGGCAATTTTACTGCTTGAAAACAGAGATTTTGGAGGGCTTTTTAAAGTAATTCTGACTTTGAAAGAGATTATCTATCAATTTAGTGTGTAACGTAATACATTAATTTGAACATAAAATCACTCAGTAAATTATTGACAGAAGTCACACTATGCTTGTTTTTTACAATCTGTCAATGACTATAAATTAATATGCATAGTAATTACACTATTGCAGTGCTTGGGAGCTATTAATTCAGCTCACATATTTTCCAGAATCTCCTACTGACACTGACAAAGTTGCTTAATTTCTCTCTTGTTCAGCTCACATCTCCAAATTAGCACAGGGATTGCTTCTTTCTTTGTACCTCTAAAGTACCTGCCACACAGGGACTTCCGAGCAACTACTGTAACATGAATTACTAATCTAGAATCTAGACTATTCCAACTTGGCCAGGAAAAACACTGCAGGGACTGCGTAAATCTGCTCCTGGAAGAATGAATCACTGCTTCTCCCTGAGAGGAAGCTGCCAACAGCTCTTGCGGGGGACACACACCAACAAAGCACACTTTACTCTGATGTCTGCTAAAGACATCTCTTCTAGACCATACTCACTTGGCTAGCAACTGCCTCACCAAGATCACTTCTCCTACACCACTGCACCTGACCTATGCTAAGTGTAATGATAAAAATATCTCCACCAGTGACGATGGCCAGATGCCTGGTGACTTACAGATGACTCAAAGCTCTGGTGGCCTCTGACATTGTGGAGCATGCAAAATCCCTGACACAGCTGCATGACCTGGCTCAGAGAGAGAAATGCCTTAGTGTGGTTGCACTGATTCCTCACTGAGTGTTCCCAGATGGTAGCAGATGTCTCTTCCTTCTGTTAAGGGTTCCCAGATGCAATGTGCAACAGCACTCGGTACTGATCACCTTTTCTATCCAACATCTGCACAGAGGCTGTGGGAATGATCACAATGCAGCATATGGACTGCAGTGTTATTAATATCAATGCTACTTTATCTTTTCCTTCGATCTGGGAATTACAACTGCCCTCTGACGCATCTAATATTGAGAGCATGCAGAGAGAGAGATGAAAACCCAGCTTGATGAAGCTCAAGTCCGAACATATAAAGATGACATGAATTAGAGGAGGAAGCCTTTGGAGGATACAGTGAATCAAAGAACGAATGTAGTGGTTTCTGGGATGGATTAGACAAGTCCAGGGAACAGAGAGGCTCATTTTGACCAGTAGCATTGCCACAGGGATTGTTAACTTTGCAAGAGTCAAAGCCCAGCACTTTTTCTGCCCTTTCTGCTTTTGCCTCAACACACACCTTGCTTTCACGATGCCAGTGAGCACGGGATGTGTCCATGCTGCCCCTTCATCTGCTTGGGAATCTGGCCTCTTGAGGAGCCCTGAAAGTTCGTTGATGGTTTTCACATCCCTCGGTCAACGCAAGTGGCTGAAAGAGATGGTCTGCCTCAGAGCATTTACCGTGATATTCATACTTTGGGAAGAAACACATTCTGCCTTCAGACCTTAAGAAGACTGGAGTTATTTCTAAACATTTATGTAGCAACCGTCACTTTGGACAATTTGCCTGTTTTTCCCTGGTCACAGGTTTTCACAAAGCCTCCATTTCTCTCATAAAAATAGAAACCCAGGCAAAAATCAAAAATCCCTCTGCCTTCCCTGCCCTTCTGCGGGTGTGTGTATAAATCTCAAGAAAGAAACAGTTTGATTTTTTTTTTCTTTGCCGATTACCTCCGGGCCATTCCAGGCTGCCTGCAGGCCGGACGCAGAGGCAGAGCCTTTG